ATTGGGGAAAATAGTTAAATGGATAAAGATAAAAAAATAAAAAATAAAACATGGCATTCGAACTAACGATCTTCAGACGTAACGCCAGCCGCTTTACCAGCTCGGCTATTCAGCGGTATTGGAATTATATATTATGGATGTGCCATGCATACATGCATACATGCATCGATGCGGTGGTTTCTGGGATAGCTTGCTGTGAGGGATGTGATATAACCCTAACCGTTTTGCTTAATTGTTCAATGAATGACGCACTCGTTCACTTCCGACAACAAGTGAAAATGCGGAAAATTTTCCTCTTCGATGCGAAATGCATCGGCCGGGCATTTCATTATTTACGAAAAGTAAATAGGCTGGGGAACGACGGTAGGTACAAGAACTGGTAACGTCGGTCACACCCCATTCATGTCCATCAACGAAGAAGGCGGGGCTTATTATAATTACGGAGATGGGAAAATGCAACATAACTATAAGTACCTAGCGCAGTGCGCTAAACAGCGTGTTATTTTCGTATTTGTGCCAAACTCTATCGTAGGAAACCGTTCTAGTCTAGCAGAATGCCCTAGTTCCTGAGATCGGCGATTCCGTGCTCTAATGCTATTATACCTAGAAGTTATAATAGAGGGGTGCGGCGTAGACTGTGATTGAAAGACACAAAGTGTCAATCCTCGGCGCGCCTCGGCATCATGGCCGCATCACGTCCAGAGAGACCGGGTACAAGATGGCGTTGCGCAAAAAACGCGTTGTTCCTTGACCGCCAAGAGCGGTTAAGCCGCACACTTCCGCGGGACTGGGTGCATGCGACCGCGGGGTGTTGTATGTAGCATCTCGCGCTGCCCGCTATACGAATTCGCGCGCCGAAGGAGGGCGGGCGCACGAATCCGTATAGCGGGCAGCGTAACATCGCGCAGTTTTCGTCACAGACGTACACCGGCTTGGCTACGGCGGCCTTAGGGGGGAGGGCATTTCCTGCTGCTGCTGCTTTGCTGCTCCAGGGTCGCGCTGCAGCAGGGACCAGTATTTGGTGCTGCTGCTGGTTTGCTGCTGCAGGAGCGCGCTGCAGCAGGGGCCAGTATTAGAAATTCTCAAACATGTTATTTTATGGCAAGGATTTTAATTTTATTTATTTATGTAAATATGCTCGTATGAGTTTCGTTGGCAACATATTTATATGTATTATTATATATACATGTATATATATATATATAATATTATATATATATATATTAGCGTGGTTATAGCTATCTGTGAAGGCATCTGTGTTTCTTGCATGACCGACGGGAATTCTCGTGTTGTTGCAATGGCAGGCATGTGAAGTCGTGCGTCCACTCATTGGCCTGCTGCACCCAGACCACACTGGACTCGCTAACTTTGAGGCACTGATGGCTCTCACCAACCTGGCTGCCCTCAGCGCAAGCGTTAGGTAGTGTGTTTGCGTAGACCTGCTTGCATAAAATTGTAAAGGCCTAGGCGTTCTAGTCAGAGTTTATTTCAAATACAGGACATGAAGTGAAGATTTAGCCGTGCAATTACTGCCTTTAGAGATTTGCGTTACATTAATTATTTATTATTGCAGTAATACCACGCATTACGACTACTCTGCTTTGGTAAATTTGTCTGTAAGTTATTTGCAAAATATAACCACTAATCTCGAGATGCGAAATGTAACATCGCTCTTACGAAATTGTTCACGATCTTTCAAAGCGGAATATTTTACACAAAAAGTGGTGTGCTCAATTACCATAAATAAAGTTTATGTAATACATGTTGCAGCCAAATACCAAAACATTGGGCAGGTTATTTTTGCTACATGTAATTTACCACTCTTGCATTAGGCATTTGGACCTAGACATGCTTTATTTATTAAATGTGCGTGTTCCTGCAATCAGTCCTCTCTGCATCCAGTATTATATCACTACCAGTTCGCAATTAACTTGGCTACTACGGCTACAGTGAGCTGACAAATATAAGGTCCGTTTACTACAGATAAGTTTTGGCCTCCAGTACAGAGCCTGAAACACTCAAATCCAACAGTGATATAGAGAACGAAAGTAAGCCAGCTGATAACAGTGCCCCTCCCCAGTGCTACATCTCCCTCCCAGTATTATAATGATACAAAGCTTTACCATTAAATAACGTACCGGTACATTTAAACATGTTTACCAACATTACTAGTCATCTTTCTAGTCTTTTCTCAAGAGGACATGGGAATATCGTTAAGAATGGATGAGATAGATGTAATCACACCAATCGACGATTCTCGATGCAGGCAAAAGATACTGAAGGAAGAAGGCTTCTCAAAGATCGAGCACTGGTGTTTTGAGGAGCACGAGTTGATCAGGCGGGCGGCCACACAGTGCATGCTGAACCTGATGCAGTGCAAAGAGGTACCGATGTTATTCAACGTCGTCAAAACTCTTCATTTTTACAGTTGCTAAACGGTTAACATGGTTAACCCACAGTTAATACAGTTGTAAAGCTATGACCGAGTGGCTGAACACACGTGTGTACCGAAATCTGGTTGGTTTATTCAAATTGGGTGACTTTGTATTTCCTAAAAATATCTGATTGGTTAGTTGGATAACTCCATGAAATACTGATGAACATGACGAAAGGATTATCAGTATGACCGACACCAGATGTCCTCGGTATATGGTTCGGCAATTTCTGTGGGAACAAACACATAAATTATTAATACAATTTAGTACTCTCTGTATTCACTGGGACACACAAGTCAGTACTCTATTATAAAACCATATTTAAGAAAATATTAATATTAATTTTTAAAGAATTATGTATTAAAATAAAATTTATTATAATTATTAATAATATATCCGGTGTTATTAACAGGTAATATTAAAAATATTACTAATTAAAAAAAAATTGTATGTTAAAATAATAAAAGTAAATTATAATGGCCATGATGGTGGGTTGACTTTACTCACCGGCGCGTTGGTTTTCCGGCGTCCCAGGTCGAGGAAATCTTCCTGAAGCCTGGCAGTGACCGTTTCAAGCTCATGCTGCTCTATGCTGGTGAGTTTGAGGACGACGTGGAGCTAGCGCTGGCTGGAGCCGCCATCATCGCAATGCTAACGACCGACGAGAGATGCATCGAGAAGGTCAAGGAGGTAGGAAAACGCAGAGGCATTTTTCGCTGTTGATGAGGTCGGGGCTGTCTGACTATGGACCAACTACGATTGAGCTTTACTGTACCTATACTGTGTAACGCTAACCCTAAGCTGTCATATATATCATTTATTTTAGTCATCTCATAGTATATAGCTCCATCAAGCTATCATTTCCTAATCTCATATAGGCTGTAGGCCATACAGGGATATATGGTGTGGCCCGCAACTTATGGTATATGTTGACGTGGCCCACTGTGCTGAAGAAGTTTGGCCAGCCTGGTTTAGAGTGATAGCTACCAAGCTGTCACGCCGTCTTTTCGACTGCGCATTTTCGTACTAGACGGTTGATTTTACATCTATTGGCTGACAACACCCTTGCACTTTATTCCATGAATGAACTTATGATATTCGTGATTGTTATTTCTTCTTCTTTTACTTTCCTTATTTTATAAACAATTAAAGGCCCATTTTTCGTGGGGCAGGCTCTCTTGGGCACCCATAGCATAGGACACAAAGGTTTGTCATTTGACACCCCCACGTTCTCAGTCTTAGCTAATACTCTTAGTTTCCTGCCATTGGACGTTAGCTTTCCCCAAGATGTCGAATATAAAATACGTTTAGTCGAGTGCAAATGTGTAATGCAATGATGTGACAGGGTATGACTTTTGCCATGGCTGCAGTAGTAAGTGCCATACTTGTCCTCTTTACTTTCCACGTTTTTCAAAAATGGGACAATGTTCACAGCAGTAAACTACCGTGGCTGCACTATAGTTGCTTCCATGTCATACCCATGAATTTTATGCTGCTCGTACGTGTCCTCCCTATACCACAAAAAGTGTTGCAAAATGTAATTTACCTCCTTTGAAGGAAAAATTAAACGTTTACCTTTGTGCCCCTGCAACTTTTGGAACAATTTGGCAAACAAGGCAACAATTTCCGTGCTTTAACGATATAAAACTAAGCGAAATAAAGATGCTAAGATCTACATGATGTGTGGAAGTAACAACTTGTTAGCTTGTAGTTATGGCTTCCGAGCCAAGTTAGTTGCTATCACGGGGATCGCGTGATGATGAAGCTGAGATGCCCGTTGTCCGAAACGAAATTATTATTAACAGTAGTCATAACATTAACTTTTGCTCATAGACCGTAGACAGAAACAGGGTGAAGTTACGAGTTTCTCGTCCGCCGTGTGTAGAGAGACGTCCGGTCTACGAGAGAAAGTTTATGTTGAGAATAATTTCGTTTCTGACGACGTGCTCCATGTCTTTAATATGGAATTACTCGCATGTTCACTCTGTATAGCTTATAAACTTATAAAGCGGAGCTAACTTGGTTAATTATGTTGCGCTACGTCAGGTATTCAGCAGTATGGGTAGTTAGGGGGACTTAGGGCCCATTTAATGGTTCATGGATATAAGCGCTGACCACAATTCATTTTCGCAATGTGTGACATGTGCAAATGTGCAAGCAATTACTCATATCATTGGGCCCATTTAATCATGTGCTGTGAATATGGTGATGTCATATTGTCTACACGACATAGCGACTATATATATATATATATATATACTTTTTTTGTTCGATGCATCAAACAATCGTTGCCATTAGTGTTGTGCCAGAGGTTGTGTGTTGTGCACGTTACCATGGAAACCGCAGGTGTGCAGTGTATGGATGTGAACGTTATGGATTTCTTACTTGCATTAATATCAGAAGATGAGCCCATTCATCATTTAATGCAAAATCCGATAAGCAGACGTACATACACAGAGCACATGTGCAGCTGCCACTTGATTAATATCCATCAAGACTTGCCATCAATTTATAGTGTTGATGCATACAGAATGTTTGTTCAATTCAGTGTAAAATGTCTACAGCTGAAATGTGTTTGAGCGAAAATCTAAATGCGATTTATGCATGTGTATGACCACATACTTGGCAGCTTGATAAAATAAGTAGATGTCAAGAACTGCGTTGCCCCTGTGCGTGGCTGGTTGTCTGTGTATATGTACCATGTGGGATGGGGTATGGATGTATATTGGATGTACGTGGAACCATTTCGATCGATTCGAGGCAAAGTTAATCCATGATTATTGCTTAACTGCTAGGAACAGCAACTGCCACAAGCCTTGGTTTTATTTGCCTTAACCATACCTACGTATCAAACGATGCCAGCCAGAAGAATGGTTTAATCATTAATTTCACATTTTTCTTGTTATTTCGACGTTCGTATCTATTACTACATGTGTTCGACAAAAAATAAAAAATTGTCTACCTGCCCACCCGCCACTATACTGCTTAGACTATAGTTGCAAATTATGATAATAATAATATTATTATTACTTATCATTATCATTATCGCGAGGAGATCGATGGCCATATTCATCACAATAGACTGTTTTAGTATTTTTGACCTCACACACTCACTGTTATCAGCGTTAAGCGTTAAGCATTAAGCGTCATAACCTACTGACCTTCGTTGTGATTACAGGTGAAGTCCTGGCTGACCATTCTCAGCTCCATGAGCATGCAGGTGCACACGGAGCTTCAGTACCGCGGGCTTCTCATCCTTGCAAACATCATTGAACAGGACAGAGACTTGGCCAATGAAGTGGTGAGTAGCAATGAGTGCCACGTTCAAGCATACTCTCATCTGCTCGGCGAATGCGGAACGACAGGAGTGAGCTGTGCGACATCTCACTTTCATGCAGTAGCTATCTGTGCATAGCTATGACTAGTGTAGAATCAAGATCGAGCTTATAATACCTTGGTAGAATTACAATCAAAGGCAAATGTACAAAAGTATACAGAAGTACAAAAAAGTGTAAAAGGTGTTTGCCTAGAAATGACGTGGCGCGATCAAGTCGCATGTGCTGCAGTTGAGTTGTTGGTTGTAACGGTTAATTATATCTAATGGTCACTACGTGACCGTCGTTAACACCTATATCTAATGGTCACTAAGTGGTTGTTTGTTAACAGTTAATGGTCACTACGTGGTGGTTGTTAACAGCTATTATATAGCTAATGGTCACTACGTGGTTGTTATTAACAGTTGTATCTAATGGTCACTACGTGGTTGTTATTAACAGTTGTATCTAATGGTCACTACGTGGTTGTTATTAACAGTTGTATCTAATGTCACTACGTGGTGTTATTAACAGATTGTATCTAATGCGTCAGTACGATTGGTTGTTGTTAACAGCTATAGCTAATGCTCAGTACGTAGTTGTTGTTAACAGTTATAGCTAATGCTCAGTACGTAGTTGTTATTAACAGTTAAAGCTAATGCTCAGTACGTGGTTGTTGTTAACAGCTATAGCTAATGTTGTTGTTAATGTTGTTGTTAATGTTGTTGTTGTTAACAGCAATAGCTACGTTGTTGTTAACAGACCGAGGGACAGATGTTGGATGTTCTGATGGCACTCACGCAGCAAGACGACTTCATGCGTGCTAAGGCGAAGGAGCAGGCCGTAAGGGCGCTAGCTGCTGCCCAGAAGTGGGAGCTCATCCAGAAAAACCCGGACGCCGAATAGAGGGCGTGGGCGCGCGCTGCGTTCGATGTGCTCGTCCATTCCGCGGCACGGATACTAACGTCCCTTGTTTCGTTCCCCCTTCGATCGATGGAACACAGAGCAGATGAAGTCGGGGACGATGTGCGCAGGAGTTATTCGTTAGGGGGGTGCAGGTGAGATCAGTGAGGATTGGATGAAGCAGTTGTTCCTGTGGCCGATCTCAGTGGTGCTAGTGATATTGTATAGGTGAAAACCCGTGCGTGCTGTTTACAGAGCGAGTGCCTCGTTTTAATAAGAGGATTCGACAACAGGAGGAATGGTTTTCAGGATAATGTGCCAAATGGAACGACGAAGCTTGTGTGTGAAAATCGAGACCAGAGACCAAAATCGTACTTTTTTTCACGTTCCAATAGCGGTCCAAAAGCTGTAAACTCTAGCATGACCACGTTTCTATAAATTAGTGAGGTAGACGTGGTTAAAGATTGATCATTCACGTGGCTTATACACGTACGTGGCCGTGCTTGACAGAATCGCTTGTCAACTGTGAGAAATTGCAGCCAAGGCATTTTCTAGCTATTTTATATTAACCTGGATAAACAACACCTAAATAATCATGTGTAATTCTGTCCCCTGAGATTTTTTCCTGTACAATGTATTTATTTGCTGAATTTCTGTCATTTGTAATTTAATTTGTGTCCTAGTGTTTATGATATAAATAACCGTGACATGAAATCCAATACAAAAACGCATAATGCAAATTAGCAGTGATTTTATTTATTAAACCAATATCTGTTTCTGACTTCCAAATATAGTGTTCGTTTTCTTCTTCAGGTTTCTTCAAGCTCTCGGTCATTAAATTGATACGAGCCATACATATAAAATGTTTTATCTCCTTTTTTCAACTTTTATGGCATCAAGTACAAGTAATAAGCTCAACGAACCCACATGGGGTAGAAACAGTGCATCTGTATTCCATAGAGACTGCCCAGGCTTCCCCTACTTACGTTCTATTACAACGTCTTGCCTTCTGATTAGGACCCACCATGTACAACTTACTGAAGAGGAATAACATGACATTTCATAATTAATTCATTACACAACTCTATAATAACTACTTGCAATCTCTGTGCTGCGCTCACATTACAGCCTGGGTTCGGTTGGCGTGCCGAACTTGCTGCGGTGGTTTTTGAGAGCATCCGCCGACCACTTCAACTGTTCGATGAGCTTCGCTGCACCAGAGACCATGTGGGGGTCGATGGGTTCTCCCTTCTCGCCGATGGCTTCGTGGACTTTTGGGATGCCAAAGAGGTTGGAGACGGTCAGCATCCCGCATTCGGAGAGCATCGCGCGAAGCTGCATCGCAGCGCGCATGCCTCCGTAGATGCCTGCGTGCGAGAAACGCCGCCGATGACACGTGTTATCAGGGGCCAGGTTCTAATCTGTGAAAACTTCTAAACCCGAATTTCCTGCTCGTACGACGCAAATTATTGCGCAAGAAACTGTCGAAAGAGAATTACTTGCGAACGATCACATTGATAACTAATGCTATTTAACAGAATTAACAATTTCGGTCAGAAGTCTTGATCACTCATCTCTGGTGCCCAAGAATGAGATGCTGGGGAAAGCGGCCTTACCTGGAGAAAAACACACGGTGCCGGAGAAGCTGCCCTACCTGGGGAATAACACACAACTTCGGCCGGTTTCCGGATGAAACGAGACTCTGGAAAAAAGCGACCTTACCCGGAGAATAGCACACGATTCTGGAAAAAAAGGCGATCTTACCTGGAGAATAGCAAACGATTCCGGCGGAGAACGAGATTCTGGAAAAAAAAGCGATCTTACCTGGAGAATAGCAAACGATTCCGGCGGAGAACGAGATTCTGGAAAAAAAAGCGATCTTACCTGGAGAATAGCAAAACAATTCCGCGCGGGCTTTCCACGCGAGAACGAGCTGCCCCAGGGAAGTGGTCGATCATGTTAGATAGTGCGGGCGGGGTGTGGTTGTTACTCGGCCGACACGATGACGTAGCAGTCGCATCGAGGATCTGCTGGTTGGCGCGACGCAGCCACTCCGGCACCTCGCTCTTGTCCCTGTAGAAGTGCAGTGGCTTGAAAAGCAGCGGAAACTTCATCTCCAATGGATCTGCAACACGGTGCGAACACGCGTACAATGTTATATCATGTAGACTATATAAATAAGTAAATAAACATATTATATATATATATTTATTTATTTATTTATATAGTCTACATGAATATATATATATATATATTTATATATATATATATATACATAGATCGAGAGAGATACAGACAGATGCTGCGTTCACACGAGGAGTTTAGTTGCGTTCACACGCTAAAATATACGCGGCTTGCTTAGCCACGGCTTTCTTAGGCGCGGTTGCTCCGGCCTGGTGAGCGCGGAATCATATTCCGCGCCAACTAAGCCGCGTATATTCGGCACCACGCTGGCCGCGTATTGATTGTCGTGTGAACCTAGACTGCTACCCGTTCGCTGCACGACGTTAGGGTAGCATGTGGAACTGTCGACCGGGTACCAGTCTATATTATACCGAGCTAGCTAAGCCTCGAATCTCGTGTATCTCGTGTGAACGCATTTTAACCGGACTTAGCACCAACTAAGTACGGTACCAGCTAAGCCGTGTATACGTGTGAACGCAGCTGGACAGACAGATAAATATATAAAGATACATGTATACATAATAGATATATAAATACATATACAATTCAATTATATATATATATGTTCATACACCATGTTCATATTGTGGCACAGGTAGCTATGGGGCATTCACAGATAACTTCCTAATGATTTACACTTGTATTAGAGTTACTTTATTAACATTTATTAGGCTTCATTTTATTTTTTATCAAATCTCAGGTCTGCCTTGCCTGCTCCCCCAGCCCACAATTAATATTCTTTCCCTTTCCCCTGTAATGTGTTTTATCATCGATCTATCTGTCCATCTGTCTGCCAGTCTGTCTGCCAGCATCCCTGTTTGCCTACCTGGCTGCCTGCTTGTCTACCTGCCTGCTTGCCTACTTGTATGCCTGCATGCCTGCTTGTCTACCTGCATGTCTACCTGTGTGCCTGCTGTCAGGCTGTATGCAGACATACAGGCATAGCTACCATGCATGCAGTCTGCCTAAACATGTATCCTTTTACCTATTGTACGTGTGTACGGCATGAGCATTTCACAACGCAAGGCAAGCGTCGGTTCACATTTACAAGTACATTTTTGTTGTACAATGTACATAGATAACATCTAGTTTATTAAAAAAAATCATTGTTGTGCAGTGCTTAGTAAGCAGTAAAAGCTGGGTCGACTTTTTGAATTATTGGTGAGAGAGTACTCTGTATACAGGCTATATATAGCCACAATTTATGCCGAGTCATGCTGGTGCTGCAATTTTATGAAAAAATCTCAAGAATCTCAGACTGCAAGTTAAATAGGAATATAAGAGGGAATATTCTGTTCATAATTCATGCAGATAATGGTTTTAGTGACAGAGACAGCTGGAATACCCCACAATGTACACATTATGAATAACAATGACATGTGTAACATAATATGGTAGCAGGAATTCATGTCAATACTACGTGTTATTATGTATTCATTATAGCAATAATCAAAAGCACACAAACTACACTTTTGCACCCTTGTAAGTAATGTATGACAACAGCATACATATAACATAACCATGGACACCCAAACATGACATTTTTTCTCATTTTCGTTTTGTCTGTATAATTCCTTCCCAGATAATTCATAATAGCCAACAAAAAAACTAACCTACAGCTAGCACCAGTAACTGGCACTTTGCCCAAATGAGTGCTTAAATTACAAATAATATACATTGCAGTAAACGTGCTCTACAAATCCAGCATCGTGGCACTGACATGGTTACTAAGTGACACTGTACATATTACATGTACTGATCAAGGAAGCAATCACGCCCGACCGACGGCCAAGCGTGCATTGGCGTAGTTATACCAACGCCTATCTGCAGCCTTCACCCGTACGTGCGTTTTTTGGCTTACGAAAAATCCAAACCATTCTTTCATAGGGATGGTACACCGGATTACATTATGAGTAAACCTGTTTGCACTGTTGCGATATAATTTTTAGGACAGTACGGACCACGCAGAACGCAAAGTGTTCACATCAATGTGGGAAGGTGCGAGTGTTCAAAGTCTAATACAGGTGTGAATGAATCTCAATACAATCTGATTCTTACCAAAAAGTGTAGTTTCAAAACCAGCATTGTCCAACTGATTTTGCATCAATTTGGCCACTCGTAACCCTAGTCTGCCCTCCCTCACCGTTCCAAGTAGGATGATAGCCTTTAACTTCTGAGCTGACATGACTGATCGACAAAAGTTCACAAGTAAAACTCAGAGAAAACCTGCAAAAAATGCAATAATAAGCATGAGCTCACGCAACTATATATATAGAAGTGTAAGCGTGCAACAGTGCAGCCACGAGAGCAATGGCCGCCGGCAGCGTATGTTGGACGTAGGATTTGGACAGAATTTACAGGAAACTGTTGGCAATAATAGGTGAAAGAGAGTACCGTACTATAGAAACATTAAGAATTTGGTAGTAAATAGATTTCGTATTTAGTTAGCATTATATTTTATTAAAACGCTTCAAGTGCCTGTGTCCGCACCTGCAGCTACAGCACAATTGACACGCATCTATTGACTATAGCCACGTTCACACGTAGCAAGAAATCCGGTATTTAGCGTTCACACGAGGCAAAATACGAGGCCCAAGAAATACGGTATCTAAACAGATCCGGTATTTCATGTAAATACGAGGCTTCCCAGACTCCGAATAATTTGCCGTGCTTGAGAAATACCGGATTTCTTGGACCGCGCATTTCCTCGTGTGAACGCTAAATACCGGATTTCTGAAGCCGCGTATTTTATAGACTGGTCCGCGCTCGACAGTTCCAGTGTAACGCGAGTGGAACTGTCGAGCGCGGACCAGTCTACGTATTTTATCGGCAGTTGGTTCGCATTGCATTGTTTATTTCGCATTGTTTGCTTGATTGTTTAAAGCAGCTCGCAGCTCGCAAATACCGTATTTCTGTAGCCGCAAATCAGCGTGTGAACGCTCGGCCACGTATTTGTCTCAGATACGGTATTTCGCAAATCCGGTATTTCAGAAATACGAGGTCTCGTGTGAACGAGGCTTATATATATACAACAATGTATATATATAGTCAATAGATGCGCGTGTGCTGTAGCTGCAGGTGCGGACTTGTTCTTGCTGCCACTGCCAGTGCTTCTGATGTCCAGTAATAAACATATTGGTCATATATGTTGGACCATATATATATGGGGGGATGTTGGACATATAAGTCATGTATGTCCAGTAATAATCATATCCTATCACCGTCCTGGACATCATCTCTAGACTCTAATCTCTATCCTTAAACCGATTTGAGTATTCCACGTCTAAGTTAAACCCGCGAGTAACGCGTATATTTTCACGTCGACTAATAGTCCGGGCTAGAAGGCACAGGTGCTTGTTTTTCAACATATATAATGTTTTTGTTTTGTTTCCTGGCAATGTTTATGTGCTGATTCCAAATCCGATGTATGCCAGCTCGTAAGTGTTGAGCATTTTTTTCTAGAGCACAAAATCCAAAATGGCCACCAGAAAATACACTTTTTTGTAAATAACGGCGATAATATTGTATTTAGACCCCAAGTATATATGGAACATGTATATAAACTTGGGTATTGCGGACATTTTGGTACCAATACCATTACTCTAGCAAATGGAGTTCTTGAGATATGAACTTTTCATGGTTTTTCTTTTTACGCGATAGCGGCAATTCCCAACGTGACTAGTCTGGGCTATGTTCAGGGACATATATAACATGTTTGAACAATTTCTCCACAATTCAAACCAGCTGGTTCCAAATCTGATGTATGCCAGTTAAAACAGGTTGAGCATTTTTGAATAAAAACAATTTAAAATGGCAGCCAAAAACCTTATGGCAGACATAGATTTTAGTGATTATGTATTGCCAGTTTTCAATTACGGAACAACAACATTGTTAATCAAGTTTAAAATTTATCACTAATAGTGACAGAACAATCTTATCTATTATATTTACCAGAATGAACATTATATGGACAACCAAGATAGCCCTCATGGCCAAACATGTTTAGGTAATTGACATCATATTCAGACATACCCTTAATACTGAACAAAGAAATGAACTAATGGACAAATGGTTCGATCACTGTCATGTCACACAAGAACAACGAGTCTCACTGTACAACACAAGAATGCCTACATTCAATTATTCAAAAACATCTTCATCACTATCTTCATCTTCCTCATCCCCGCTTAGTTCTTCCTGTGGTACCCTCCTCACCACATTTTTGCGTTTCCTTCAGCTCTGCATTTGCAGAACTCCGTACATGCTAGACTGAACTTGGTACAGTTACACATTGCTGATTTGCAGCCAGATTTGCAACCACAGCTGATGAGATGTGGCCTCACCACAGTTTTGCAGTTTCCTTCACCTCTGCATTTTCAGAGTTCACCTGTCATAAGGAGGAGCGACACACACGTGAAAGCAGATGCTGCTGACAGACTGAAGATTCGTGAAGCACTGTGCACATGCATTGATGTGTTTGATAGTGACACACGCCCAACTGGAAGTCTTGTCAACATATTTTCTGGTCAGGTTGTGGATGACAAAGGTATCAATGCTGATGATTCCGTGAATATCGGCACTGATCAGTGGTTGGAGTATGAAAGACAGTGGCCAGTGGGATTTCACAACAAGATATGTAAGAAGGTCAAACCAATGTCAGCCGTTACAAAGCAGAAGATGAAGAGTGGGGCTCCTGAGAACGTGAACACTGAACTTATCTATGCCCGAGTCATTGGAATCATGGCTTCTTCCAGGGAGACCATTTCTACCAAAACCCTCTTCTCCTATGAACTAGCTCCCTTTCCATCTGCTCTGTTCAATGCTAATGGTGACATGAGAACAACCTCCAAGTCTGTGCTGAAGTCTAAGATCAAAGTAGAATGTAGTCAAAGAAATAGGGCGCCTTGCGAAGTTGTTATTCTAGATGGTTGTGCAGTTCTGTGGACAGTTCCTTGGCCTGCATCACCTGCTCAGGTGTCAACTTTTGTCAGTGCTGCTGTTGCTAACATAATGCATCATGTGAATGGTACACAGGTTCTGCATACATAGTGTTTGACAGATACTATAAGACCAGCATAAAGTCATGCTGTCGCGCACAACGTGCAAACAGTGTCAGTCGTGTGTACAAACTTACACCTGATTGCCCACTACCAAAGCAAACTGTCACCTTGAATGTCACAGCTAACAAAGAGCAGATCATTCGAATGATCGTAGATGAACTGAGTTTGTCTGACCTTTCCGAGGGCAAGAACATCATTGTGACAGGACCTGATACTCGTCCCATTGACGTAGGTACTGGTACCCAGCTCACACCAGCAACACATGAGGAAGCTGACATCCTCATTGCTTATCATGCAATAAATGAAGCTGTGGCAGGGCATTCATCTATCAAAGTTGTGTCTGGCGACACAGATGTCCTTGTGATCCTGGCTCACCATCTACACGCGCAAACAAACGACATGCCAAGCAGAGTACAACTTCTCATGGAGTCATGCACCAGAAATCGCGCTATTGATGTCAATAAAGTTGTGAAAAAGCATGCACAAGTTATGCCCAACCTCCTGGCGGCTCATGCACTAACTGTTTGCGATTCCGTATCCTCTTTTGCTGGAATTGGCAAGGCAACAGTCCTGAAGCAATTGGAAGCATTTGCTGACACTATCAAGCTAGGAGATCCATCTACTTGACTGGATGAAATCGTCGACTCTTGCCTGGGATATGTAGGCATGTTGTACCGACAAAAGCATGACGAATCTCTGAACACCATGCGAGCAGCTCTTTTCATACGAAAGCTAGCTGGCAAAAGACATGTACCACCAAAACTGAGCAGCTTACCACCAACAATGGCAGCTTTCAGACCACACTGTACCCATGCCCACTATCTGACAGTTCTCTGGAAGTCTGCTGGCATGCCGTCAACCTGCACCTGCTAGATGCCTCAAAAGAGTTTGGATGGGAGAAAGAAAGTCAACGCTGTTCCAGGCTGTATATATATACTGTGATCGGACAGCTATTGTGCCAGACGCCCAGGTATCAATCTCATCAGCGCTGGTGGTTGCATAATCCTGGCTGCCAATATCAGCAAATGTTGTAAGCTGTACCAAGTTCAAGGTCTAAGGCATGTACGGAGTCTCTGCAAATGGCAAGAGGCATGAAAAGGAAACGCAAGATGTGGTGAGAGCGGTACCCAGCAGGAAAACTAAGGCGGGGATAGAGAAGATGAAGAATAATGAAAAGCATGTTTTTTGAATAATTAATTGAAAGCAGTTCTGTGTTTGTACAGTAGAACTACGTTTGTTCTTATCGTGCGTGACATGCAACAGTGATCGAACCCATTTGTCCATTGTTCATTCTTTGTTCAGTACTTAGCTGAAACCCGCGCCTAGTGCGCGGGTTTAAAAGTGACTGTGATGCATGTGTTACCAGTAAGGCTACAGTAGTGTTTTTAGTGTTAAGGTGGTGAGTATGGAGAGTTCTAGTTTTGTTGCAATCCATTTTTTTTTTAAATGGTTGAGAAAGGTCGTCGAATACAAATACATGTAGTAATCATGGCTTACACGGTAATCGACATTAACCATTCTGTTTGGCAAAGTACCACAGTGAACCAACAGACACATGCGCACGCACGCACGCGGCACGCACACACACACAAATGTTTATTGTATGCTATGGTAGAACTGACTGTTGATGAGACGCGGTGGACTCAAAGAAGTTAGGAAATTATAAGATAGATCTGAATGGCGCTGTACAGGGGTCCGGGCGGACTGATGTAACGCACTTGGCCGTAAAGGAGGCTTGGCGATAGCACGTAAATATTAGCGTGCTTCGCATGTGTTCCATGCTGGTGACGGCATCCGGGACCGCAGGATAATATTGGCGTAGGTGTGATCGCCTTATTCTTACCGGCATGGTTTGCACTCTGTGTGGACGACAGTACATATCTACGTGCCTTTGATCGACCGGCTTGTCGAAGATCGGTGTCCACACGACACGCCCGTGAGCACTTGCAGCACTCCAAAAAAAACATTTGCTCTGATGAAATTCAACTTGTACATCTCATAATGGAGAAACATCATGGCCAATAGCACTGAATATTTAACTTAATTATTACATGGTTATTTCACTTACAATTATGGGGCTTACACAAATCTCAGACACGAGCAGACAAAGAAGTTTAGGAACGCAGATCAACATAGGAAACAGACCACGAAATCGAAAAACCTGTT